AAAGCTCCATTCTAGCCGACCGTGAAGTAATTGCTATTGGAATCAAATTATAAAACTAAATTTCATTCGTTTCGTTAGTTTCGAAATTAGAATTCTAAATCAACCTCTTTACATCTCTGACGCGCCATTATAAAGTTTCTGTCTAATATATGAGGAGAAGTTCATTCCGGTTTGGACTATTTTATGTTTACAATTTGTACTCGTAGTAAAATGATGAATGTTCAAATGTTATCTTTATAGATTTCAATAAATAAATGTTTTGTTTCTTTCCGAAGCGTTAAAAAGGAACAAATTAGGGTTTTGAGCTACTATTGACTAAAAAATATATGAATTAGTAGCAAGGGGGGTGGGCACACATTCGTGTCTGCTAAGGTAATCGCCTGTTGACCCGTCAAGCGATCGTTGCCGTATCGAAGAAGACATTCGCAGCGGACCTTGAAGATCGGTGATACATTCCGACCATTAATATCGGCATTGAGAAGGTGGCAGCGCCGCGGGGCTCCGCGCCGGCTCGCCAGCTTTAAATAACATATTAGTCTCCAAAGCGGCCGCCGCCATATTTCTCGATGTATCGAATAAGTTTTTCGGTAAACCGGCACGTAACGAATCGACGTCGACGACAGCCGACGCGGGGTACGATTTATCGCGTGCACCCGATTCCATACTAATCGGATTTGAAGCAGCCCCGCTTACACCAGCTCTCTTTATGCTGCTGCCATCGCACGGACCGCGCTAAGATACAGTGAACACGCTCACTAATCACTGCCACAGCGAACGTTTTAACACGTTCGCTGTGGCAGTGATTGTGTGTTGTAAATAAATGATCAAGTATGCGAACAGCAAAGCCGTACTTCAATTGTTTCGACGGGAGCGGCGCGATTTAAAAACGCTGCTGTATGAATAGATACGTGGAAATGCATTTGGTGTATTCGATCGCCTTTGTACCGCGCAGTGTTGCATATTGAACAATGGGCGAAAGAAACAAAGTACAATGATTTTAAATCGTTCATCGCTCAAGAGCCAAGTTTTAACGCAGCATTAAAAAAGCTCCCATGCGAATTCGCGAATACGTTACGTTCTTCTAGAATCACGTATCAGTTTGCTAACAAATTAGTATCTGTATACCGCTCAATTGGCGACGGCGATTGTATATGGCAAGGACTTGATAAGTGCGCGATAACCTAACCTAACCTTTGGGTCCTTGATCTCTCGCGCCGTCCCTCGCGCGTCTAGACCGCTACATAAAACACCTGTATTAACCTAAGATGGGATGGATCTCTGCAGTGCCTACTGTTAATTTATCCGCCGCTCATGAACATCGGCAACACCCAAAGAATATAATATACATAAGTTTGCAAGTATATATCATGTGTGATTTCTGAGTAAAAAAAATATAATTGTGTGCATTTTCCAAAGATCTCAATTCGAGGAGAATACGAACGAAATCTTGGACATCCTTGTAACAACATATTTCCCATTTTCAACTGAGATAAGATATTTTAGATAATAATAGCGGAAAGACAATCTTTTAACTTAACAAATTATTTTGCTGTTTATTGATAAAGTATCAGTTAGTTGGTAAAAGTAACATAAAATGTAATATGCTATTACGATAATTTCCAAATAGCTCGGAATTCTACAAGATATTTCATTGAAAGGAAATAGGTAATAGGTAAATTACATAACTACGTTTTCGTTTAGCGAAACCGGGTTAAAAATAATATTTCACATTATAGAAATGTATATTCGTGAAGTGTCTCATAATTTTATGAGAAAACTTACTATTGAATAATTTATTTAAGTTGAGTAATATTTGAATTATATTTCGACTTGCTCAGAAATTTCTCTTATAATTTCGTTGATTTCTTATACTGAGATAAAGTTTTTAAAATTTATATCAATAATTTTATTATTCGAGTTTTACTTCACAAACGACCATTAATATTACTAATATTATAAATGCGAATGTTTGGATGGATGAATATTTGTTAGAAAGTATTTCCAAATCAGCTACAAGGATCTCGCTGTTATTCCAGGCTATCCAGACCATAGCCTGGAAGAACACATAGGCTATTTAAGGTTTTTTTTATTCCGTGCTGACGGAGTCGTGGGTGACAGCTACTAAAGTAATAAACCGTAGATAACTTTTAAAAATAAATAAATAAATCTTCGAAATTCAAATATTTACATTTATATTCTAATGAATGCTTCCATGATAATATTAACTGGATAACAAAAAACACTATATCACTGTTGATTGTAAATCTTGAAGACACCAGCAGCCATCAAAAAGATATACGACTAAAAATATATAAACAATAATGTTAGACATTCTTAAGCTTAATAAAGTTTAAACGGTAAAACATTTTAAATGGTCATTAAAATCAATATTGGATTTGACTCATCCGTATAAAAGTTATATCTCGTAAGAGATGTAACTCTGTTCGTCTGATAGTTGGAATACCTTATTCACATTAATATTAAAATTTCTTTGTCTAAAAACTTTGTATTCCTTTTTAAAAATATTGTACCTTGCACCTTAAGATAATGTAAAGACATTTGATTAAAAAACAGCTTTATAAAAGTAAAGCTTAATCAAAATATTCTTTGATTATGAACCACGATTTAATTCTTCATAAGGACAACCATTTTATACATGGACATAATTAACATAAAAACCTAATGTAAATGACAAATTGTTTTCTGAAACATAGCTGAACTAAATTTAGTGGCTACATTTACCATCAATTAAAGAACTAATGCCACTTGTTAATTTAGTAAATCAACTTTGTATATAAGTGTTATCGGAATTGTATGAAACCTAGAAATATGCATGCGTTTAGTTCTTACATAGTCTTGTCAGCTCTTCGATTGAAAATATTTAATATATTCAATTTTCTTATTAATTTTATGAATTAATATTGCGATTAAATTATTTACGTTGAAATAAACCGCATAATTACTTGAATAAAACCAATTAATGTTGATAGACACCCATTCTAATAAAATTACGAGTTAAACGGTTTAAGCGACCATTTGAAATACGCCTACGATACTCGACTCTACTCCCGGGATAACTGCACACTAAAAATGTAATTAGTAATATTAAGTATTTTATACGCATATGCGGTTCCTTTGGTCTTGCAGATGTCCATGAGCATCGATGAACACTTAGGTGTTCCCGCTACTCGTTAGCCCCTACTCTTATAAAAAAATACGCTAGTAACATCTTGCCCGTGACTTCGTTAGTGCAGAACTAAAATATCTAGTAATAATTATATCTCATCGGGGATACTTTAGCTTTCCAACTGTGATTTTTTTTTCAAATGCAAATCATATGTAAAATTCTCGTATCACAATGTTAGTTCTCTCAAACGACTTAAATGTTTACCATGAAATTTTGTATGAATAATCGGTAGAGTCTGAGAATCGGCTACTATTATATTTTTGATTCGAGCGCTGACGGGAGTCGCGGGCGACAGCTAGTATTAGTCTAGATTGAATGTATTTGATGATTTACCATTTGTGAACAACTTCATACTGCATACATTACAGTTTACAGGAAAAGAAATGATGTTGAAAAAGTTTAAATAATTTTCACAGAACAGCTTTATTAATTTTTTAGTATGTTTATTGCTTTAAAAACCTATATGAACTTCACGCGTTACACTTTTTCCTCATTGAATGCAGATATTTTTGCAACTGTTGCTCTGTTTTCGTTAAATATAATTTGAGAATGACAAACAAATGTTGCAATTTTGATGAAATATGATTAGCACAATATAGACAGTAATTAATTTATGTTACTTTTGTAGTCGACTTCAAAAAGAAGGAGGTTCACATCAATTCGTCCGTATTTTTTTTTACTTCATCTCTGTAGTAAAATTAAGAACTTCTACTACGGTCACCTTATTAAATAAGATAAAAACTTATTATGTATATTTCATGAGTAAGTTTTCGCTGCCAAATCGTTTGTTTTTTTGCGATTCTTGCTGTTCTTGAAAACCACTGAAACACTAATAAGTACAATTGCGCTCGAACATAATTTGTAATACATCCATTAAGTTGTATTTACAAAATTGATAAGTTTGAACTTTTATTATTATTCTAACTAGGCCTAGGCCGATTAATCTTTTATCGATTTTTTACAAGATCATTTGTATGTTTTCTTTACAGTTTCAGATATATTTCAACCTTTTCTTTCCGTAGTATTGTAAAGTTTATTTAATAACTATTGACATAGTTGTTAATTAACTGCCAGTTTAAAGTATTCTTAGGTTAAGAGTCTCCGTAAATGTAAAGAAAAAATATGAGCTTAAGTGAGATCTAAGCGTTGTTGGAAACTAATTTCTTACAAGGAGCCACTTAAATGCTGCTTATGGGCCTCCTACACTTAAGTGATGGTTAGTGAAAATAGCAATAACTGCTACTTTATTAAGTGCAGTATGCAACTTATTTATTGTTTATAATCAATACTTTCCTTGTTAATAATAAATTACGTCTGCAATAGATTATGCATATCTCTTGTTTACCACTGACCTTTGTGTTAACATTGAACTTGAAATAAAGTGGTCTTACCGTGGGTTTCCAGTACCGAAACACACTAGCATATAGACAAACAAAAATCATTATTTTGAGATTCATAACTTAGATAAATGCTTTCTGTAATGGTTTTTCTTACATATTTTTCTTCCTTTCATAAACGGACACATATGAGTTACATTTCTTTTTAAGTATGGATAAAACGATTTAGATAAGTTTTGGATAAAGATTAAACATACAGTCTTAAGTTAACATCTAAGTTAACTATTTCATTTAATAATTATTTTATGTAAAACTGCGCTTATTACATTCTACCAAATAAATGGATTCTTATAGGAGGAAGAAGGTAGAGCTGTAAGATTTTCGAGAGAGCTCCAAAATCACCTACATGTACTAACTAACGTTTTTCTGCTTGTACCACAGACTATTTAATAATTATATTATTTCACACAACTCACCTTCATTTCCTCTTTTACGGCCAACACTTTGAAGAATTTTTGATATCACTAAAAAAACTATATCGAACACTCGCGTTCCGTTCCAATCATCAAGTCAAAACATCACAAGAGTTTCAGTTAGGATTATGAAAGCGAATTTTTATTAAAACAGTGTAAAGACAGGGCACTATCCACGCGGCCACACCGCGCGGTTGTTACGTATAAACTAAACTTCAAAGTTATCAAGGCGGCGTTAAGTTGGACCCCACGAACTTCGCGTACACCCATTGGTTGATGCACCAGTGGGCGGGGCCGGAAATCTATGTAAAGGTGTAACTGTAAGGTCCCCCTGAAGTATTATTACTACGTGTGTTTAAATGTTAAGCGACCCGGCAATTTTTTTTTATCGTTACGTATCCAGTTTCAATTGATGCTGTTTAATTTTTTTAGTTGGGCCCACCGTTCATAGAGAACTTATAAAGCTTCAACGTTTTTTAAACTTATGCCATATCATACGTATTATTTTCAGGATTCATAAAGAAATAGTTGTCTGTATCATAGTTTAAAAATACACTAATTTAAAACCACAGTTAAAACATGAGGATTACAGTGAAGCTGTCTATTATATTCATAAATGTTACTAAGAAATAAATCACATATATTCCAGTTGATTGGACTAGACTTAACCACTGGAAGAGCAGAAACAACCTACTCATAAATCTGTTGCAATAACTGGATTGATCCAGCTTCGTTCCACTCACAGAGTATCATGGAACGTTCCAGAAGATGAACAATAATCTATTAGGTTTGATGAACTTGCTATGATCTATTTATATTACTTACATGGATGTAAATAGTGCGACTAAGTTATCTGACCCGGTGGGCAAAAGTGGAACTAAAGTCTTCTACTTGGGTGTAACTAATGTCATGTTCTTTGTCAAGTTACTATACAATATCTTATTAGTTTTCTTAGTTTGAAACTCTTGTAGATATTAAAGTGCATACATTTTAATAATATCATTTAGAACAGATCAGAAATTGAAAATACATTGTTACGTATCGCTAAATTGATACTGTGGAAGTAAACAAGCCCGTATAAAGGACCTGTCCTATCCTTTAAATGTTCTTGTTTACAAACTAGATAATTATTGATAAATTGTTGCCCTCAAGTTCAACAGCGCGTTGCCCTCTTGTTAAGATATCAATCATTTGTTAGTACATTTCTTGATAATCGATTAATAATAAAAGATTTTATGTACTTAATTAAGTGTACATATGTTTGTTGGGCTGCAAGATGTATTTGAGTATGTTAATATTCATAATTACCAATTACAGATATGCTGGTAAGCTTGTTTAGTACTTCTATTTATCTTATTTAGTTAAGAAAACAGTAAATAACAGTTATAAGTACTTACACACAAAAATACCAACTAACAGCATTCTTTAATGTAATAAAATCTTTCGAATTAAGTACTAATAATTTAATCTAATAAATTATGTGATAATTTAAAAGTAAATACCTACTTGAATAGCTTTAGGCAAGAACTTGCAGTTGCAAAAGTGTTCAACAGTTGCGCATTAGACAGTTTGAAGTAGGTAATGACCGGGGATTTGGGATTGCGCGGCGGCAATCAGCGCGCTTGTCGCTCATGTCGATGACCCTCCAATGAACCTGAGGTACGTAATTTGCAACCTTTCAAAGGATAGAGAATTACACCCACAGATATCGTATTAAGATTGCAATTTTCTTTTTTAAGATTTTTTTAAAAGAAATAATGACATAAATTTAATAGATTATTGAATATTCCAGAGATAAAAACTGATTATTAAAGGTACGAAAACAACTGTTAACCCTCCCCTTATGGCTTAGATAAGCCATGCCTCATCTCATGGATCTCAAGGAAATTCATAAATTCCTCTGCGAAAACATCTATAAAACTTATTATTATTATTAAAAAAATCATATTAAATATAACTATTATATAATTTATGTTTTCTATTGCATTTAGCTAGTTTGACTGGATTCTAAAACTCTAAACTTCAAAGAAAAACCTAAGACTTACATCAGTAACTAACTGAATTTAGCGCCTACATTCCTCGATTGACTGCTTCGAGTCGCAATCACGCTGCAGATAAATCTATTGCAAGATGGCAATTCATTCGTAAAATGTTCAGTCGCTAGGTGCAATTACGGCGAGGACATACCCCACAACCACCTCCTCCCCCAACACCGCTCTCCATTCTGGCAGAGAGGGGAGGGAGGGGATAATTTTGCTTACGTATCCGTGTCCGGTACGATTGCACTGCCACCCGATGTTGGAACTAACCGCAATGTATTCTGAACTTATTTCAATGGTTTTTGTAAATTTTCTAAATTAAAACGCAAGTTACATAAAGTTATATTTATTTAAAAACTTTGAACTTTTGCTCTTCACATAAATAAGCCATAGGAAAAACTTTCTTAAAAGAAGAATGACTAGAACCTGATAATCACTCAAATAAAATAATTTAATAATTATGTTTTCTCCGCGAGATGTCGCCACTTTCCGCAATTTAGATTCCTACGGGTAGGGTCCTATATCCGGGAGACAGGTCGGCTTTGACTTTTTAATTTTCATTTCAAAGGGCTTTTCAGCACATCCAGTCGGCAGCGGATTGGCCGGAAGGATCGATTTTTTCGCAATCCCGAATTTGCAATTCTAATTGGCGAGTCTCCTACCCGTCGACTTTCCTCAGATCTACGATTATATTTTCCAGTTGAATCATCTTTTCCTCCCTTATAATTAATATGCTTTGTTTTTTACTTATGGTGTTTAATTTTTTCTAATTTTATTCTTCTGGTCGCTTTCACTGTATAATTTCATCAATCAGAAAATATTGTATAAGAAGTTTTTTCTAAAAACAAAACAGCATAATAAATATTTACTAGTTAAATTACCGGAAAAAAAACTTTTTATGGAATAAAAGAAAAAACTCTGTAGTTAAATACAATTAGATGAACGATCATCTTTACCAAACCTTGTTTACAAAATTCCCGTGTCGTAATGTTAGTTACCTTACTTATCCGCAAACGGCTTGACCTATGACTATGTAAATTCAGTCAGGTATGAGAATCCGCTACTATCTAGTTTTTAATTTGGCACAGATGCATAACAGTCTCGAGCACATAGGCTAACTAAATAAATCATCAACTATTTATTTTTAATTCGCGTCGACGGAGTCGCTGTCGGCAGCTAATAATAGATAAAATTTTGTTTTTGACCACATTTGAATGCTAAAAATCAAGACAGGTGGTAACAAACCAACACAAGTTGATATAAATCAACAAATTAAATCACAAATTGTGTTTATTCAAAGTCAAATCGCGGAACAAATATATATGAACATCACCTACAATATCTGTAACGTGTCCACCCTATTTCAAATCCCCACAATATCTGTGATACAGAAAGATAAAATAAATTCTAAACAAGAAATATAAATGAACATGAATATTAGATCGGGAGATTGTAATCACAGGTAACGAATGAATTTAATTTAGTTATGAAAAGAAAGTTACATTTGCTAATTGACTTTGACTACAGAGAAACGGACTAAGCAAAGAGTTCTCCGTTTCACAATATAAATTCTGCCTACGAGGTAAAGATGACAATCACACAGGCGTATAACATATTGACATTAATCTGAAATTTCATAATGCAAACTGATTTAAAAATAATCACAATGTAAATACGGAACATATTATTGTACGTTTTTATTTTTGTCAAATAAGTGCGAGTGCTTATCAGGTCCTGTTTATTAATTGTCAAAGTTAATGCAGTAAAATTAATACAAATAGAATATTTATCATTGTGGCTACCGAAAGCATTATTTAGTTAAATGATTTGCATATTTGAATTTGTACTTTATTTAGAAACGCGAATAAAACAGATGTTGATAGATGAGATTAAATATGTTTAAGCAAAATTATATAAACAAGTTTATAACTCTCATAAGACGATTTTTTCGCGAATTTGACTTTTAGTTAGAAAGTATTGATGGCCTTACTAATTATAAGGCGAACTGGAATAAAAAGCTGTGATTGTTATCCGACCCAACAAAAACTTGTAATATTTTGCGCTCTGCCCCTTTGCAATATCAATAAAAATACCAAATATTTACAGCAACAAGAACTTATCGAGTAACATAACAGCATTCAATCCAATTAATATAGTAGCTTGCTTGCAATATTTGTGTGCTTACAAGTTTATCCGCAAGAGGGTGCTAGGTATCGTGATGGTCCCGAGAGGGAGAGTTCGTCATTGATTTGTCGGACATCGCGCGAATACGAATTAACGAAGGGTTCCTGCCAAATAACACCAATAATTTGGATCTTCGATAACTTCATTCTTCCTTTTTTATTTTTAGCCATCTTTGATTTCTATTTTACTTTGAACATTTTACTTTTTGATACTAATACTATGAACGTAAAGTAATTTTTTTCTTCGCGTTATTTTGTACGTTAGAATTCCTTATAGCATGTAACTTTAACTAAAATGAACCACTTTAAGAATGAATACGTAGCCCGTGGAATTACAAGATAGGTAGTTGTATTTTATTAATTTTCGTATAAATTTCACAATCTATTTGAGGTCTATTGTCAACTTTACCATTGTCGAGTATATCAGCTACACTACCTCGGTGCAAATAAATGGAATTTAATATAGTGTCACATTTACTGGGCTTACAAGAATGCCTCCAGTCAAAAAGTCATTGCGAGAATGAAAACTACTCCTCATAACTTTGATTAATGTCCATTACTGGTTTAATATAAATTGAGGGACTTTGAAATGGAATGAATGAAGCAATGTATGGGATACAAGAAGGTTAAAACGCTTGTATATGTCCACATGCGAGATTCGCGGCTGTCTGTGGACAATGAAAAGCTGTTGTGTGACTATTAACAACGTTTAGCTGCTCCCCGGGGGTTCGGGCTCGAGGGACAATCGTCTATGGGGCGCGTTATTATTTTATTTAACTTTTTGTACGAACAGACGTAGTCTTTGCACAGTATATATTATTTTGATGTGGTTGATAGTAGATTGTACTGATGTGCTTCTGTTGATCTTTGGATTAAGTGACAAAATTTAACCTTCAGCTACTTATATCGTTTTCCTTTTTCCTTCAAGAGCATACGACACAAAGTACTACGCATTACTAATCTCG